CGTTTTTACACGCGGCAGCTTCAGCGGCAGTCACGGCGGCCAGGCAGCATCGAATGACCCTCACAGCACCTCCATCCAGCTCCTCAGGCTGCCAGACCGCCAGACCGCCAGACCGCCATGCACCCTTGACCCCGATGGCTCAGCCTCGCCGCCGTTCAAACAATCGTGCAAGTTGTCGGTAGCGAAACGTAAGGCCCCCCTTCTACATAACGCAGCCGCCGCGGTCGCTCTTGGCAGCTCACACCCCCGCCTCCCCGCGGCGCTTTCACTACGATTCGGCGACATGATCCACACGGCTCGCTCCATCTATCTCGACTACAAATGAGCACCATCCTGGTAGCTTCGCCACCCAGACCATCTTGAACGCACTTCGGCGCTTCGATACCACAACCACACAGCGCCCAGCATGCCGTTCCAGAGATCGAGCAGTGCTGCCTCCACACAGCTGCTCTTCAAGCCACCCTCGGCACTCGGCCCAAGTGACTTTGCATCGTCTTCCGCTGCAATCGTCCCCAGCAAGTCGGCTCTGGCGGAATCGTCCTTCAAGCCTCGCGATCCATCCCTCGGCGCGCAAGAGGCCGCTCCAGCTCGCAAGCAGCACCACGTCTCCTTCCAAGAGCAACCGGAACATGCAGAGCCACAGCAAAAGCCAAACAGGAGGCGCGAACGTAGCCATCGCTCGTCGCAGTCGAGCTCGCGCCCCGATGCTTCCGAATCGAACACAAAGGGCTCCGAACAAGGCAGCGCAAAGCAATCCGCCTCGCGCGCCTCTTCCCGTCACAGCCGCAACGATCCCAGCGAACCCGAGTCGTCCAAATCCGCCGGCGCCGAGAGCGCGCTCACCACATCCACGCGCTCGCGCAGGCAAGGACGCCGCGGCAACGACAAGCGCTCCGATCGCTCCCAGCGCGCGCCCTCAGAGGCAGCCACGGCCACCACCGACCCCACCTCGGTCTCGCGCCCCAACTCCAGAGCAGCCACATCCACAAAGTCCGAGGCGTCCACCTCGGCTTCCAGGCGCGATCCCCGATCTCGCGAACCCAGCGCCTCGGGCAGAAGCAGCCGCAATCACTCCAACCATGCAGGCATCCTTCCCGACCTTCGCCTCCAAGACGCATCCCGCTCAGAGTCGGTGGCTCGCTCTCAGCACTCGGCCTCCAGCCGCCGCGACCGTTTCAGCACCCGCTCGCACGACACTCGAAGCGTGCCCGGCGACGCTCCTACCGCTCGCGATGGCCGCCAGCTCTTCGATCCAAGGCGCGACGATCCTGTCAAGTTTGCCTCGCAGCAGAGGTTGCAAACCGACGAGCGAGCCCGCGCCGGCTCCAGTGTCTCGTCGCCCCGCCTCGCTTCGGCGTCATCCTTGCAGCCACAGATTCCCATGCGAAGGGATCCATCCGAGTCGTCGCGCGCCAGCCTGCTTGCGCGCAGTCCAATCATCAAGCCCTCCATCGCCGACGTCGCCTTCACTCCGGCTATCGACCCGGCAGATCCACGCGCCCTCCAGGCGCACGTGCTCGAAATCAAGAAAGTCTACCGATCCATCTCGGCCATGGAGACCGCATTGCAAGAAGCGCACCACGCCGAGGCCGACAAGGCTCGCCTCGCCATGGCCGAATATGTCCCTCCGGACGTGCGCGATCCGTCCTACTGGATCACCATGATCAGCCGCCATCGCAGCCTCGCCGATCTCCACTCTTCGTTCTTCGAGATGACCTGTCGGCCAGAGCTGCCTCGCTCCGTGCAGGAGCTGGCCGAAACGTACAATCTGCCCTCGCGCCTGTGGCAGAATGCCTTTCACCTCATGCTCGAGAGCCTGCGCTCCAATCTGGCGTCGCAGCCTCCCCACCAACCTGCCAGCCGCAAGACCGAGCTGCTCGACTACCTCACCGAGTTCATCTACTTTGCCTACTCCTTCTATTCCGCCCTGCACGAGTCAGAGAGGTACAAGAACTTCGGCAGGGCTTGGATCGAAAGCCTCGGCGATCTATCCAGGTATCGCATGGCCGTCGCAAGCCTCGCTGCCAGCATGGCCATCGATGGCGGTGGCGAAGAGATCAGGAACAAGGCTCACGATGGCCGCAGCCCAGTACTGGCGCTCGATGCGCGCATCGATGACGCCCAAGACGACTCGGATGGAGATGCTGATGACGATGACGACTCGCTCGACGAACACCGCGCCGAAGCCAACGGCGCGGACGCTCGCCGGCGGCACGCACGACGTAGAAGGTCCCGCCGCGGCCATCGCGACGACTTGCACAACGTCGACAAGGCGAGCATCGGCAGCGCAGCGCTCGGCGACTGGGAGTGGACCGAAAAGGAGACCTGGCGTCAGACGGCCAAGGACTGGTATGCGCTCGGCATCACCCAGGCTCCCAACATCGGCCGGCTCCACCACCATCTCGGTGTGCTCAGTCGCGGTGAGGACGATCTGCGTGCGCTTTATCATCTTTCCAAGAGCCTCATCGCCTCCAAGCCATTCTCTTCGGCCAAAGACAGCGTCGTTGCGCTCTTTGATCAGGAACGCCAATCTCGTCGCATCCGACGCGGTAGCTCCGTCGGGGAACTCTTCCTCTACTTGCACGGCCTCCTCATCACCCGCGTCCAGCTCGACGACTTTGAGCCCGTATTCGATCGCTTCATGACCGACCTCACTGCGCTCGTCGAGGAGCACGGTCCGGCAGGCCTGCCGCAGTCCGTGTGGACCATGATGGCGACCGTCAACATTGCAGGTCTGTTCGAGCACGGGTCGGACGACTCGATGCTGGCGGATCTGCTGCTGCAGCAGTCGCACAAGTCCGGCAAGCGGCCCAACCGCACCGAAAGGTCGAGGGCCAACGTGCCCACGGCAATCCTCGTCAGTACGAGCGCGACCAAGACGGACGACAACTTGCTCAGCGAGCTGCCGCGCGATGCGGAATGGGATGACCCCAGCGACGACGAAGACGAGGCGGGCGAGCAAGATGGGCAGCTCATTGCGCTCGATGCGAAAGCGCGCGGCGACGAGGCCGAGGCGGAGGCGGCCAACGATCTGCCAGACACGCTCGAGCGCGCGGCCAGGCTCTGCTTCTCCATGCAGGCACTCACGTTCGACCTGACCAGCGCCGATGCGAGCCTGCGGTCCAATCCGTACAACACGACGATCGGCACGTTTCTGCTGTCGCTGTGCCAGTCCAAGCGGGCGTTCCGCCTGTTTGAGCGCTTCGTGCCCTGGGATTCGTGGCTGCAGCGTCTCGAGAGCTCCATCGGCCTGGCGGAGCGCGGCTGGCCCAAGATGCTCGCGAGCCCGTACATCACCGCCCAGCTGCTGCTGCCGGAAGACTACTGTCTGCGCGGTATCCTCGGGCTGTCGCGCCATCTGTACGACCGACATCTGTGGCGGCCGACGGCAAACGAGGGCGGCATGTCGGCGTCGCACGCGTTTGCGAACGAGGTCGAGGTGCTCGATGCCGAAGACGGCGAGCTGTATACGCGCATCGAGTCGGCGTGGCGCACGGCTGCTGCGCGCAAGGGAGAGCGCGACGAGGCGTCGGCGACGCTCGACACCGTGCGCATCTACCGCATGGCGTTTGTGGCGCGCAAGCTCGCCAAGGCCGGGCGTGGGTTCGAGCTGGACGGCAAGACGTCCAAGCTGTCGCTGTCCAAGATGCTGCAGACGCGGCTGGTGCGGCGCAAGATGGAGGAGGAGCAGCGCGAGCTCGAAGCGCGCATCCAGCAGCTGCGTCTGCAGGCGGCGAATCGGGAGCCGGCATCGGCGCGTTTTGAGGAGCCCGCTGCAGCCAAGTACGAGGAGCCGGCGCGATCGGATGATGAGGACGACTTTGACAGCGACTGGGAGGAGGACGAGCCGGCGGCGGCGCGCGAGCGCACGCATTCGCTGGACGCCATCCTGCCGACGCCCGAGGGCGCCGACGCGAGCGACGAGATCCAGGCACTGCATGCACGCAGCTGCTACCTGCGCGACGTGCTCAGCAGTGTGCGCAGCACGCTCACACGCGGTGGAGGCGGATCGCACGCGGCCAAGGAGCGGGGCACGCGGGTTGGGCGGGTCAAGACCGACGCTGCGGCCAGTGCGTGCGAAAACATCGTCCCCGGGTACACGGTGTTGGTGGTGGATACGAACATCATTGTGACGCCGGGCGAGGTGATTGCGCAGCTGATCGAGTCGCAACGCTGGACGCTCATCATCCCGCTTGCGGTGATTACGGAGCTGGATGGATTGCGGCGCAACGATAGCGAGTTGGGGCGGCATGCGGAGCGCGCGATCCGGCTGCTCGAGACGCGCATCCGCACCCACGCCAAGTTCGTCAAGGTGCAGACGAGTCGCGGCAACTACCTGAGCGATCTCTCGTGTCGGTCGGAGGACATTGATTTCGCATGGCAGGGCCAGGGTGCGGGTGCAGCGGTGCGCGAGGAAGATGCGGCAGATACAAAGTCGGTCGCCGCTCGCAATGTGGATGAGGTGATCCTGCGTATCTTGGCGTGGCAGAGGGATAACTTTGTTGATCGCAGAAACTTGCTCCAGCCCACAGCAGCACGCAAGCACGACGAGCCGGCAACGCGCATCGACTCGGCGCACAAGAGCGTACTCCTCACGCTCGACCGCAACCTCCGACTCAAGGCCAAGAGTCGCGGTCTGCCCAGCGTCGACTCCAGGGCCGCAGCTGCGCTACTCGAATTGCCCTGACAGCCGCATTGCTCAATGATAGCCACCACCACGCGCACATACGCACAGAAAGAGAGATGGGCAGAAATGTGACGTGCGAAAGAAAAACCAGTGTATATGCATTGCCGTCGTGAAGCGTGCGCAGAGTGGCAACTAACGTGTTTTGTGTACAACCGACGCTCGCGTAGCAACGA